ACCCCTATATAACCAAAACACTATTCATTTCTTTGGTCCGTCCTATACTGGAGTACGGTTTATGTGTCTGGAGTCCCCAATATGGAGTACATCAGGACCGCATTGAATCCGTACAAAAGAACTTTTTAATATTTGCACTTAGAGGTATATACTGGGATGCAAATCTTCAGCTTCCATCCTACAGTATCAGACTTTTACTTATAAACTTACCTAGCTTAACAAATCGTAGGACAATGCTCGGTGTAGTTTTTCTGCATAACCTTATTAACGGGGATGTAGATAGCCAGCATTTACTAACACGCTTAAATTTTAACATTCCTAATAGAAGGACTCGAAACTTTAGTCCTCTGTTCCTTAGGCGTTGGAGTTCGACATATCGACATATGCACTGCATGACCCTTTTAGGGTATTATGTTCGAACTACAATGGTCTCTACTCTATTACATCTCTTTCCTGTCCCTCTAATTTAAAATATAGAATTTTAAATTTCCTTACTAACTCCTCGTAGCTTAATAATTAACCAATAACTTGATATATTCTAACAAATCGTTTCTTAAGCGCCCCTCGGTCGTCTGGGCCTCTAAGCTTTATGATGAATACAGGAATGCTAGCTGATGCTCTTGTTGATGCACAAGCCATTTCCAAATTGTGAAAGACCGGTAACAAAAAAAAAAAAAAAAAAAAAATGTGTTAAAATACCACATATTGAAGCTTGCAATTTTATCCTGGCACACTAAGAAGAAACCACGGAACCATCGAGCAAGTGAACAGGTTAACATCCGAAATACGCCCACCGAACAGCGAGAATATTGTAGCGCTATTTTCCTCGACGTATCTCAAGCTTTCGACCGAGTTTCGCTTATTGGACTTAGCACAAAATTAAAACGTATTTGCCAATATACACCCACAAGCTACTGGCACTGGCACTACAAGCGAAGCGCACTCGGGCCGTATTTATATGTTTTGTAGACTGCGGATATTCCTACGAACGCACAACTAACAACGCCAACATTCGACGACATCATCTCATAGTAGTGAAAAGGTGGCTGTCGACTGGCGCATTAAAACAAATAAACAAAAGTGTAAACATATAACGTTTACTCTTAATAGACTAACATGCCCTCCGCTTTCATTAAACGTTTTGCAGATCCCCCTTGTATACCCGTCGATCATCCCACCTTAAATTATAAGGTCTCATTCCATCGAAGGAGGAATGGGCTTAACAAATCCCGGGACCATCGATTTCCCTTCATATATACATGGATAGATCAAAGTTGATTGGCCAGGTGGAATTGGAATCTGAATATGAATAAATGAATATTTAAATGAATGAAGTAATAGCTATCATAGATCCCCGCCACTTGCTGCCACACAGAAAATTATTTGCATTTTCTTAGATAGCTTAGCGGCACTCAGGGCTCTTGACGGATTTTCATCCAACTAGTTTCATAATAATGACAAACAATGTGTTTCATGTGTCCAAACAACCTAAACCATTGTTATGGTCCGATTTAAAAAATATATCGGACTAGTTTTACTATTATTAGTCCCAACTCTTTGATCAAAAGGGTTGAGGGGACGGACGAGTTTCCCCGACTGAATAATGCACAGTACTCATACACATATTTTCCACCTCACATTTACTACCTTTTAAATTTTAAAGATTAAATTCTCAACTAATACAACAAAATAAAATTTTTGTTTTATACTCGGTGCTTGGACAAATAATAGCTTCAAAGGTTAAACGCAGTTAGCCTTTTTTAAAAATGTACACGTCCCTTTAAAATTTTAACTCAATTCGAAATGTGCAAGCTATACATTAGTTTGTATGCTCAAGTCAAAGGGCATCAAAGGGAGCCGGATAACTTTGAACGCGTTTTCCCAAAGTCGGTGATTTCAATTTTTCGAAAATGAAAAAGCCGAATGGTCTGAAATTTTTATGGAATTTTCTCAATGGAAAATTTCTGGGAACGCAAGTTAAGCCGTTTTGTTCAAAATGATATTTTTTTTAAATACTTCGTTCATTACCTGCATTTATTAGGACCGCCGCCTACATCAAGAGTGGGCCATATTGCCATTTTACTTACTTTTTACATAAACTAAATTTTTTCATAAGAAAACTTAAAACTTTTAATAAATATAGTTCCATTAGGTTTAAAATTTAATTTTAAAAATAAGACAAACAAATTATGTAATTTTAAAATGTTAGAAACTTCGAAGAGAGCTGCATGAGAGAACTCATAAGCACCTGCAACAAGTTTTGTTTTTTCGAAAAGGGGCAAAAACCATTACTACAAATTGATTTAATAGTAAGTTGTTAAAAACAATATATTTATACCTTTTAGGCTTTTGGAGGCACTTAAAAGAAAACCTTAACAGAACACATGTACTTTGTTAGAACAGCCTAGGACGACACGTTTGCAACACATTGGACAATACAACAGTAACATATGGAGCTATAGAAAAACGTTTAAAATTATAAATTTAAATACCTTGATCTTTATTTTCTCAAAAGACACTTTAAGCTTTTAATGTTCGCTTTAATTGACTCACTAGCTGCAAGATGTGAACCGAAAAAATCCGAAAAAATATTTCCTAAACTTTTTTTTATGTCTTTTCAGTATAAAAGATACCAAAAAAATAAGCATTTAAAAATATCATTTATGCCAAAAATTTGGGATTTGGACAATAGTGCAGTGGTGGGAAAAACGCACACATGTTTAAAATTTGAGTGTGTGCGTAAGCAGCAAAAAAACAAAGAAAACAGAGCATTCACTGAGCGAAAACAACGTATTTTCTTATTTCATTTTTCGTTAATTGAAAAGATGGAATGGGCACTAAAATAGTGTTCATTTTATATTAAAGAAAGATTTTCTAGCAATCGGCTTAAACAAAAGAAAAACTAATTTTTCTTAGTAAAACATTTTTTGTTTAAGTTTGGTCTTAAAAAAATATGAGAGTGCGCACACTGTCCGTGCGCCGGCAGCGCTGGGGCAGAAATTCTCACCCTACGCACGCGTGCTATAAAAAATGAGAGTTTGCCACTGTTTTAAACCAACTGTCAGGTCAGGCAGCAGCACGGCGTTTAATGTTTGTGTTTAAATAATATTTATGTAATGTTTAGTGTAATGCAATGCTTTATTTATTAGGCTTAAGTTTGTACAAAAGCTTTGTTGATCGCAAGCCGACTCTCTCTTGGCCGCTCGACTCAACGGGCTTTCTATAGAGAGTTTTAGCTCGGCAATGTCTAGGTCGGGCCGCCCTCTCCACTGTCGAGAGCTTTAGCTCGAGGTGACTTGTCTCTCTGTCTCTCTCTGTATTTACTTGAGTCCCTGCATGCACCATAAGCTGGTCTATCTGCGGATCATCCGGCATCATCTGCATGCAGGAATAAACATTTATAACGTTCAAAATTAATTAAATTCTGCGTTTTTTTTACGGCATTGAAAACCCTCAGAAAAAACGGCATTGAAAACCGGCATTGAACCAACAAAAGACAGCTATTTTTTTCTTTTTTGAGTCTTTTTTTGAAGACAGCCGTTCTTACAACGGCTACAGAAGTGCAATAAGAAAATATTTGTATATGATCTAAATAATAATTATCTTGAAAGAGTACAAGTTCCTTTTGTACGTAAAATGTAAAAATTCAGTCTTTGATGATCGCGCTCGTGTAACCTCTTACGAAAATCAGTAGGGAAGAGAACAAAAAGCCTATAACTCCTATAAAAATTGTCCCATTGGGTTTATATCAGAGGTCAGCACGGCCCTATCTCGGGGGCATAGGAAATTTCTCTGCCCGAACTCTGCCACACACACACAGTATACATGTGTGAAACGTCATGCTCACAGTCTACTTTTTGCTATTCGTCACTAACACTAATGCGGTAAAATCATATCAATGTATTGGGGTGCCGACCACTGGTTTATATATACCTATATATATATATTATATATTATATATTATATATTATATATTATATATTATATATTATATATTATATATTATATATTATATATTATATATTATATATTATATATTATATATTATATATTATATATTATATATTATATATTATATATTATATATTATATATTATATATATATATTAGCCATTGATATACCTTGACATTAAAACATTTTTGAAAAACAAATTTTTTTTTTTAAATAAAATCGCTACAACACCGATTTCAGTTTTGGGGGAGGGAATGGACCCAAAATTTGCCTGGATAAACTGGATCTGCGAGAATACAATACGAGCTGAAGTGTCCGAAATCCCCGGGTTCAAAATTTTAAAACGTTAGTGTAGGTAGGAACTGGTATATAAATGTTAAAGTTAAAACTCCTCTAAAAATCGCTCGATTTGGGTGAATTTTATTGTCCAGATAGATAGAATATACCTATAGAAATAGTAAGGCAATAAAACTTTTTCACAAACTTTTTTTCACAATTCCTGTACTAGCGCTACAGAAATCTGAAATTTGTGGGAGGGGGAAGGGGCGTGTCGAAATTGTAAAACAAACTTGAAAAGCGTGGGCATTATGGTAGCTATGGAGCTCCAGGTATAATAAAACCTTAGTTATGGCATTTACGATTAATCATTTATAGGACAGCTAAGGAAAGAAGGATGTATGGAAAGCTTCCACTTGATAGCTTTTGATGCATTTGGTAGACTAGGTTGCGTAGTTACAATACCTCTGCAAGAGTATACAAAAATTTATAGATATTCCTCCGTCTAATACTTCTTCGTATTCGTATTATAGTATGCTTTCTTAGAGAGTTTCGAGTTTTTTTTTTTTTAATTTATATTATTAAAAATTACAAAAATCAAAATAAAATTATGTATGTGTACATATAAACATCAATTGTGTTGATGTTAATTAGTGTTAACAAATTGACAAAAACAAAATATTTATTTTCAGCACTTTTCTATGTCGACAAGACTTTTTGATGGTAAATAAAAATTTTAAATCGTCTAATAGAAAAATTTGAGTCAACTTACAAAAATGACGGCGTACTAATAACACACATGTGAGCAAATTGGAGAGAGAAATAAAATTTAAAAAGTGGATAGTCAACATGCATATATAAGTTAACCTGTGATTATAACGTTTTAGCTTTTGAAGGCCATATTTGCTATCCATGTTTCCCTTTGATACCGGAAGTGATTCAAGGTTTGCCATTAAGAGATTGATCGAAGATTTTAATTCTTCGATATACAGAGACTCCATCTCCTTGAGTACAAATTTTGGCATCAGTTTTCTATTTTTTTCCATTTCTCCAACACGTTGCATTCTGCCATCTAGTTCTCGTCTAATTGCTGCTGCTTGTTCATCAGCAGAGTCCAACTAATATAACAATAATAAATAATCAAATTGGAATAGATTATTATCGTGATACATTACCATTAACGCGTTGTAAAGAATTTGATGTTCAAATTTTTTTACTGACAATATTTGTTGAAACATGTCATATAATTGCTCTTTTGAAAGAATTAGTTCACTGTTCAATGATTGCTGCATACGTGAGGGGCGTTTTGAGTCCTCTTCACCGCTACCTTTTAATATAATGTCGAATTTTGCCATCCAAGAAGTTAAAACAGTCTCTTTACTAAGACCATCAATCTCCGGTAAAGACCTTAAAAAATCGTCAAAATTTATAAATTTTTATATGTTATGAATTTTTTTAAATACCTGACTCGTTTTTCAATATTGTTTCGAAAAACTTCTCGAAAATCATGTTGGGATGAAGCTCCAGATTGAACCATTTTTGAAACCCGTTCCGATTTTAGAAACACATCATGATAGCTTTGTACTGCATTTTGGAATGCCTCATCAGCCATTATTTGCGTTTCACCTTTAAGAAATGCCTAAAAACATAGTATTTTCAATTTTTTCATTTAAATTCTTAAGGTATATAATATAATATATTGAAACAAAAATCAATTGGACCCGATCGATTTATTTTCGATTCTTATGATCTCTACCAGAACGTGTGAATTTTTTTATGGTAGCAAGCCTGAAAAGTTAGAAATATCAAAATTTTGTGCGCTGGCTTCGAAACGAAATCGCACGCACACATGCTTCCGTGTATGTGAATGTGTGAAACGCATACATACAAAGAACAATCCAAGCGCAGACCAATCTTCTTCGTCGCGCTCTTTTCAGAGACTGAGAAACAGAAAGCATTCAATGAGCGTAAGATGAACGATCGGTGAGCGTAAGAAAGAGTAAGATTTCGCTCTGGGGCCTGCTGGGGCCTGTCGCAAGCTGTATGGTTAGTGGTTACATCCATATGCACATATAGGCGCAACCATGTTTGTTTTTCAGAAGCGAAAACAGGTTGCTTGAATTCCAGCTTTGTATAATCACTTTTTCACATAGTTTTCACTGCGCTGTCCCGTTTTTTTATGTCCACATAATTTGATTTTACACTCTTTTTTTGAATTTTTCACTTGATTTGTTTACTTGATGTTGCTTTGGAATTCAGAGTGACCAAAAACAAAAAACTTAAAAACAAGAAAGGAAAACTAACTTCGGGCCGAGCCGATGTTGATATACCCTTGCAGCTGAAACCGGATATATATCGCAAACATCGGATATAGTTGGCCGATCTTTATGACAATATCATAATAAAACCAATTAAGGGGTTATATACCTTTTTTATTTTAAATAAATCGAAAATTTGTTTATTGCTTTATCTTAAAAAACAACTCCTTGAGAACATTTTCACAAATTTTCATAGAGATTCGAGCAGTAGAAAAAAAGTTACAGCGCTCCTAACCGTGCGCCTCGTCGCGGCATGGAACTGAACTTGAAACTTTAAACGCGAATATCTCGAAATGGTGTTTCTTGAAAAATGACTTTGCGGTGATATGGATTGGCAGAAAACTACTGAACCGATTTACTTCAAATGTTCGTAATGAAATTTTTCTGTGCGATCGACTTTTCACGCACAAACTTTTTTTTCGCCGAAATGAATTTTTTAGTGAAAATTCTAGAGACCAAAAAGCAAAAGCATTTATTTTTAGCATAAAACATATGCACAAATATAAAAATCTTAAAAACGATCGTTCAAGCACAAGAAATTACACTAACCTAATTAATTTTTTTTACTTTTATGGTTTAAGTTGACCTGTTCGTCCTGGGGAAGTATCTCCGCAAGGATCTATAAAAAAAAGGCCTCTAAGGGAAACAGACACCCCTTAAAAACTATTTAATGTTTTTCCACGAAATTTTGCACAAACATTGTTTATAAAGTGTATTATCAAAAAACTAAAACATCCGTGTAATTAAATAATTGCTACATACCTAAAAAAAATCCGAACTTTCCTCTTTTTCTCTGACAAAGAAGGTATATAATATCGCAATATATCCACTTCCCTCTCTTTCTTTCAAGCGAACGGTCGTGTTTTTTTGTGCGCACTGCTTTTTTGATAAATATTGGTAAACCGGTGTTTACATACTTTGTGAATTAAATCTTGTGAATCATAACAATCTTAAAGCCTAAACCGTATCGCTTCGCGAGTGCTTTGGTATATTTGGAATCGAATTAATAATTTGTCTAAATTCTATTCCAAGCATAGCTCAGCTCTGCTTCTTCCCCGGCTTATCTATATTTTCTGCATTTCTCTTGTGCACTCTTTCAAAGCTCCCGCTTCGGCTTCTTGTTTGGCACAGTGGTTCAAGGTATTGTGTTTTTTAACTTTTTAAATATTAATTTTTGTCTTATTAAATTAAAAAAAAAATAATAATAATAAACAAAATGGAATTTAAACTGGTCTGTGCCATTAAGTCTTGCAACAAGACGATTTCCACATCCCAGCCTAGTATCCATTGCTGGTTATGTGAAAACGTCGTGCACGCCAAGTGTGCCGGTTTCACTGCATCAGTTTCGGATGCCATTTCCCGTAGGTCTGGGATACATTATTGTTGCGAAAATTGTCGTGCTGTGCAAGGCGAAATGAGGTCGTTCATGAGACAGACCAAAAATGGATTTAAAGAGCTGATCACTGGTTTTCGTAAAATCAATGACCAGCTCTGTGCGCTTGACACTCAATTTAGTGGCCTTCAGCTGCTAAATGAGTCCCCTAAGCGTAAGAAATCCGCTGTTTCTGATCCGCCTCAGCCTGCTCAGCCGACATTAATGCAGCCGCTTATAACTCTGGCCACCCCAAGGGCCTTAACTGAGAAAAATTCGTCAGAATTTCTCAGGGATAATGAGCAATTGTCCGATATGTCCGCCATGGCATCCCTTCAAGTGATGCCACAGGTCCTAGGGAACGAAACCCCCATTAGGGTCACCCAAAAGGGTATTCCACAGTCCGGACCACCGGCACCGACTGATGCTGCAGTTCTTGTACCTGCGACACCAAAACCCTTACAGGTGATTCCTCCATCGAAACATATATTTGTTTCTCGGCTTGCCCCTGATACTTCAGAGATTGATATCTCGGCTTATATCAAAGCCAAAACTAAAGCCGATATAAAGGTGGAGGACATACAAAAATTTAAATACAATTATACAAGGCGCACGTCTTCTTTCAAGATTCGTGTGCCCGCGCTGATGTTCAAGACGATTTGTTCTCCCAGTTTTTGGCCAGAGAATCTTTTCGTCCAAGAACATCAGCCTAGTTCCGTTAAAAAAAAAGTTAATAAACCAGTGGGAGTGAGACTTCCCAATATCGGAACCACTGACCAACCCTCCACCTCTTCTTTGGCCTCTAACCCAAAAAACTAATTTCCTCACTAACTCTTACCTATCAGAATACTAGGGGGCTACGTAGCAAACTCCCCAAGCTATATTCTGATAGTTCTTTCTTTGCATCCCATATAATAGCATTTACAGAAACTTGGTTAAATCCGGAGATCTTTAGCTCCGAAGTTTTTCCAAGTAAGTACACCACTTTTAGACGGGATCGATCTCAGCGAAGAGGAGGTGGAGTCCTCATTTCGGTAGACTCTACTTTTGCTTCTGAAGAGGTGAAATCCCAAGAGTTTGGTGACATAGAATTTATTTGCGTTAAAATCACTATGTCCGTGAAAGCTTTATACATTACATGTTCATATATACCTCCTATGTCTGAACCGCCCACATATTGGCAGCATTTGTCCGCTATTCGATACGTCTCTAATCTTATGACGGATCGTGACCAACTCGTAGCGGTGGGCGACTTTAATATCCCAGAATTAAAATGGTCCAACGTCGATAACTCACCATCTTTGTCACTTATAACTTACCATGACTTCACCGCGGGCATGTTTGACATGTCCCTAGGTCAGATCAATCATGTTAGAAATTCGCTAGGTCGGCTCTTAGACTTATGTTTTGTATCTGATCCGGATGGTACCGCTCTCTCCAGAGCTTTTCCCCTTTCAGCCCCAGAGGATCCATATCACCCCACGCTGGAGGTCTCAATCGAAACCACTCCTGGTATCGATCAGATGTCTCCGAGCGTGGTAAATAAGATTCGCTGTTTCCGTAAAGCTGGTTTTCAGAAACTTAATAGCCTTATCGATACATTTGACTGGTCTGATATTCTGGCGTGCACTGATCTTAATGTCACTTTAGAAAAATTTTATTTTACTTTAAATACATTTTTTGACTCATGTGTGCCTTGGAAACATCCGTCCGCTTCAACAAATCCTCCTTGGTATACAAGGTCCCTCACTAGCCTAAAAAATAAAAAAAATAAGCTTTTACTTAAATATAAAAAAACTTGCAGTAGTGTTGATTTCTCAAGATACCTACTAGCTCGGTCGAATTTTACCGTGCATAACGCTGAATGTTATAGGAATTATATTGACCGCTGCCGGATTCAATTTACTCAGGATCCAAAGCAGTTTTATAATTTTGTAAACACTAAGCGTAAACACGTATCTTTTTCACCTCTGCTTATGTTTGAAAATTCCTCTGCGACTTCGGATCAGGCCATTGCCGATCTATTCGCAGAATTTTTTTAAACAACTTATTCTCCTCCTAAATTGACTGATCAGCCTTATGCATATAACATTCAAGCAGCAATTCTTATTTTCTGTCCGTCTTTTTCTGAGAACAACTTATTATCTGGTCTTTTAAGGGTAAAACCCATTTATTCGCCAGGCCCCGACGGAGTACCAGGCTGTGTGCTAAAATACTGCGCCAGGGCTCTGTGCAAACCTCTTCTAAGACTTTTCAACTTATCTTTGGAAACCTCGATTTTTCCCCTTAAGTGGAAGGAATCATTTATAATTCCCCTACATAAAAAGGGGAAAAAGTCCGAGGCTGCCAACTACAGAGGCATCTCTAAGTTGTCGGCAATTCCAAAGTTATTTGAAAAATTAATTACCCCTCATTTGCAACACCTTTGCTCTTCGATCATCACTCCTTGTCAGCATGGCTTTATTAAGCGTCGCTCCACCACCACAAACTTATTGGAGTTGACATCCTTTGTCATAGACGGCTTTTGTAAGGGATATCAAACCGATGTAATTTACACAGACTTCAGCAAAGCATTTGATTCAGTTAATCACTCACTTTTGTTGAGTAAACTGAATATGCTGGGTTTTCCTAAAGACCTCTTAACGTGGATCTCCAGCTACCTAGATGGAAGGACACAAAGAGTCTTATTTAAAAACATACAGTCCCGTCTGGTCCGTGCTACATCCGGCGTCCCTCAAGGAAGTCATCTTGGCCCGTTATTATTTACGCTTTTTATAAACGACTTGCCCCCTGCTTTAACGAACTCTCTAGTTCTTATGTATGCAGATGATGTAAAGCTTTGTCTTCAGTATAAATCCATCTCTGCCCAATGCAGTCTTCAGTCTGACCTTGATAACTTTCAAAAATGGTGTTTGGCTAATGATCTAATACTTAATGGATCAAAATGCA